TTGATGAAATTAGGTCGGACCTTGTAATTTAGGCGAGTCTTGACAAAGCCTTTCAAGGCCTGCATAGACATGTACAGGTCCGCCAGGATTTATACCCGAAATTGTTACATTCAAACACAGACATGCCGGTTATTCTGTTTTCTGTATCATTTCCTTATGGAGTGTACCTTATATTCTAACATAAGACACATGTATGTCAAGAGAATGTATTTTCATCACCCAAATAACCAAAGTTTCTGGAATTAATATCGTCTACGAGCAGGAGTACATTGGAAAATATTGCCGCTTTCATTTTCAAAGCGAATGAGATACGAAACAATAATTTATTTATTCAGGAGTAACGTCCGCCCTGATGTCGTAAAACCTGTATTTTAAGTATGGAAAGTCGCTGTTTTACTTTATTATCAATTTATGTAAATTTAATGCATTGTACCACGACATTTGTGTCTATTGCTGAATAAAGAATGCATATAAACGAACAGGCCTCTGGACTAGTATAGAACGCGTGTTGAGGAATCTTGTATATGTTACCTTCATCTTTCAATATATAATGTGGTAGACTATGCTGGTGGATAATTGGCTAACATAAACTGTAATGAAAGACCAAACTTCAGAAAATTAATAAGAAATATTTTTTAAACATACATGCTATAAAGTTCACTCCTGCAATATACATGGCCTCACGAAATTGCCACTGTGCATTTTTTTATAATGACTCATCATAACAAAATAGATCTAAAAAATCGTGAGTTCACCAATTAAAGAAGTATTTTATCTTCTTTTATGTATGTTCCCCCTTTCATTACATATAACTGCTTTTATTGATAGGCAAACATCATGTACATCGCGTGCATTGATCTCTACGATGGAAAACCTCAATAAATGGCGACTCGAAAGATGTTTTTAACTTTGTCTGTGTAGACTGTGAGGAATAAGTTTAGTGGCTATAATAAAATCAATTGCAGATTGGAACATGCTGTACTTCTATCTGGGAATGTTATGTAATAAAGAAAAACACCTATATATATATATAATTATTTTATATCATTACGGTCTGTCTGGTCGTAATTTCATAAAGCAGCGACCGCTCGAAAGCTTCGGTGGCTTGAATGTTTATTGTGAACACAGAAAAAATATTTTCAAAATCTACATACTTATGTACTCAATTTTAAACTCATCACTGGATCAACTTCAGTGAGACAAGCCTGATTTTGAACACAAACGCCTATTATTGAATCAGAAAACACGAGATTTCCCCATATCTACTCATTGAGTATGTATTTGGAAACTTTGAAATTTCCTTAAACATACGTTTTTTATTGTTCAAAGCAACGCGTGTCCTGCAAATAGTTTGGTGAGTCGGCATGGGCGTATGTTTGTATATATACTGTGAGCGTTAATTTATTAGAGGTACCATTTTAGCGGTTTTCACGTTTTAAATATTGCGCTAAATTATGACTGCGTTAGTTGAATATTTTCGTATATAGTTTTCCAAACATATGTTGACAGTACGCCAATACATCAATGTACAAATCTGTTAAAACTCGATGCTTCGCTAAAATTTGAGTCCGCTAAAATAAGCACTTTGTTAGCATATGTAACACTTATTATTAATTTCATTGAAATCCTAGCTGATGGTATTGATTTAAACTGTTTTTAATCAGATTTATTACATGACTTTCATTGTATATAGATATGCAAGCGAACACGAAAAGGAAACAAATAACATGTACTTATATAAATCATTCTCGTCTTATTAACAGAGTAGTATGGGTATGGGTACGTATAAACAAATGAAAAATATGATTGAAGAGAACAAGTAAAAAATATATGTAAATACTCCATGAAATCGGAAGTAATCATTAAATCATTTCCGAAGGATATGTAATTATATTTACTCTTTAATATTTCTTTTTATTTCTTCATATAGATATTTGGATGACTTTACTAAAACGATTCGTCCCGACAATGTTGAACACTCTGGGATATTTCTTCATTATGAGCTGTCGAGAGGCTGCATTCTCTATAAAACAATACATGGGTAGAAAATTGATAAAAACGCGGTCACCGTATCTTCGCCTGGTAGTTTCGTAATTTCGACAATATTCAAGGAAATGTTGGTTTGTTTCGAGGTCAACAAGACAAGAACGGATAGGACTATCTAGATAAATCAAAGAAATACATTCCGTGCGTAGCCTGGCATGGAGGATCAGATCTGTCGGATCTGTCAAATATTGGAACCGTAATTGTAGTAAGGACGAAGGGCAACAACATTTCTTATAAATAGTCCTTACGTTTGGGTGATAAACGAGTCAATTTTTATAGTTTCTGACAACTAGTTTTATGAATTAATGCGTGTTGGGAGAAACGGCTACTGACATGCTCTTATTTTAAAACGTGCTTGTCGAATATTATTAAGGATTCTTTTTCTATAATCGTGAATTGCTGAGATTGCTTATTGTATAATGTCAATCTGCTATGTTGGGGTCATGCAGTGTACATGGATCTGAAGGATATGTAATTATATTTACTCTTTAATATTTCTTTTTATTTCTTCATATAAATATTTGGATGACTTTAATAAAACGATTCGTCCTGACAATGTTGAACACTCTGGGATATTTCTTCATTATGAGCTGTCGAGAGGCTGCATTCTTTATAAAACAATACATGGGTAGAAAATTGATAAAAACGCGGTCACCTTATCTTCGCCTTGTAGTTTCGTAATTGCGACAATATTCAAGGAAATGTTGGTTTGTTTCGAGGTCAACAAGACTCTGCTATGTTGGGGTCATGCAGTGCACATGGATCTGTATTGTTTTGTCTTAACACTTCAGCTTTTGAAGTGTTCCTAGCCAGTTTCCTGGCATAAGTCAAAAATATCACGAGTTAGTTCCCACCAGTAACTATATACGTGCTGTTTCTAGTTGAAAACTTTCTAACATTTTGGACAGAGCAGTGATGATGTTGTCTCAGACCAAATCCCGCATTCTAATATTGGTCATATGAATAAAAAATGCACATTCTTTGTGGTTGTAATATGTCAAATTCTATTTCTTTCCAAGTATATTTAGTCTTCCTGACGATTATCTAATTACAGAATATAGTGTTCATCCCATTTCCGTCAACAGAACAAAATGCCTTGGTGTTCGTGTATTTTAATATACCATTCATAATCAAGCTGATTGTGCCGTAAAACGTTCGTGATTTTGTGTCATGCTTAGTAGGTTTAACTGAAAACTTACTCAATTGAAGGCAATAAACGATTATAAGGGGATAGCAACACGCGTCGAAGGCAGCGCAGATAAGCTTTTAATTTGCTCTTACGTATATATACATCGCTGTTACATAGTTTGGAAGACAATGCCGACAATAAGGCGTTATTATCGAGTCGATACTCTACAATGTTTTGTTAAATAAGTTCTTCGATAAATCATTACGTTAATGCGATGAAATTTTAAGTTGAAAATCATACAACAGAAAAAGTCAACGATAATAATCACAATATTATTCATTCAGCGTAAAAGTGATATCAATGCTTTATAAATAGAGTTTACATGAGTAAGTTTAACTGTCTTAAAAATCGAAGCTAACAACTTAAACAATGATAAAGAACGTTATATGGTTTTTTTACCAGCGAAAAACATAATCTTGTGTTGAACTTATTTTTGTTTAACAAACTCTTCAAATCTTTGAAGTTTTGAATCTGTAGGTAACAGAATACAAATTGTGCTACAAGTAAATGAAATTAAGGAGTTCATTAAGACATTTAATGCAACGGTAAATACTGAAGATAAGCCTATTTGACAAGATATACCTTAATGGGGCGATGCTTTGTTCCAACAACGCTGACCCCGCAGGAACTTCATGCAGCTTACTCCTCAGTAGGAGAATCTTGAAGTCTTTCTTTTTCTCATATCGTTTGTCCACATTTTTTCGGGAATAAATGTTTTCGCGTTTTCTGTGTATCCACGTCCCGGTCGTTGTCTTTTCGTGCCAATTTTAATTTCCGGTTTTGTTTAGAAAGTACTTCATTATATTTTTGTTCTGCTTAAAAAAAAAAAAGTAAGATGACCATACTTTTGTATTCACGTACACGACACGTGTATGCAATCAATCTCCTTTCAAGACTACACTTATACGCGTGTACGTACCAACAACATACTAAACACAGAAACAAATGTTACCTTTGTAGATTTTCACGCTAAATCGCAAGAATAACATTTCACAAGTATTTATGTAGAAACGTTTCAGCATTTGTTATAGAATGAATCATTTATCTACCAATTGGAGCATTCAAATCATCACGAAAATGTCGCTTAGTGCGCTGTCATTAACTTTCGGTGCATCCAGTTACTTAAATACTTATTGCTCATCCATATCTTTCAGCATATTTATTGAATATATGGCAACGCAACCTGTTTGAATGTCAAAAAGCTAATTAGGCAAATAGTTTCCATCTTTTCTCCCTGTAGTTACTTCAGAATAGAACCTTGATTGTTAGCATGTGTTTTTTTGGCGTTGGACCTGATGAATTGGCATTAGTTTTAGACCCTAATGCTTGATACATTGTAACGTCTTTTAAAATGTTAAACAGCGTTAAAAGTGTGAGCTTTGCCCAAAAAGATCCCGAAAGATACTTAGTGTCTTTCGATAGGTAATGGGAGGCATTTCAGCATGTTCGTGTCTGTTTCCCAACGATAACGTTCTGACGTTTTCCTGCACACTTAGGCGGGCTCTAACGTTTTAGTTAACGCTAAGCCTCTAACAGATCCTAATTCTCCTGCCGAATTCGCAATCATGTTTTCTCGCATTCCAGTCCAAACACCTTATCATCTTCCCATCTTACTCGTCATAACAACTCTAAAGGAATATACTGACTGACGTTAGCACTTATTTATGTGATGTGGTGACAAACTGATTTATATATATATACATTTATATATATATTCTGTCTTGGGGAACTGATTTATATAATACATATTGCAGGAAGATACAGAGGCTGCACGAAGGAGATTTCAGCGGGAAAATAATGACGGTTCGTCCATAGTCATCACACATTACGGAAATGATAAATGAAGGAGAAATTAGCTCTTGGTATTAGCTTTCACGACTTGCCCGCGGTTAATCTTACCACAGTTGTCCTAGCATCTCCAAACCGACGTCGACATCAGGGGATGTCTACACAACAAAAAAATGGAAAGATCGTGAGCTTCATGTGGATGGGATAATGAACAGAATGATGATATGAATAGCAAGTGACCAAGATACTGACAACATGTAATATATTTTAGTATTGCTATATCACATCGTGTGTCACTTTCATCCGTAATCAATATTGGATCTTCGATTAGTAAGGTAAGTACTCGTAGAAAACAGTATAGTACATTATTCATTTGTATTATGATTAATCACAAATGATATATGACAGATCCTCTACATGTGATTGGCTGTAGACAAAAATCTGATGGCCAATCAGTATAACTAATTAGCATTTGAATTTCTTCAGATCGATATTTATGCGTGTTTTATACGAAAATTATATTTTGGTCAATTTTGTGTAAAATGTACGTAGTGTTTGATTTCACACACTCGAGATGTCTGTTATATTTTTGCTAGTTCATCACGTACGTACTGTAATGACGAATTAATTTTATCTATGAAATATCTTTCTTCAACCACCGCCACCGAAGTGATTAATAGGAGATGGTATCTTAAGTAAATGTGCTTTTAAGAAAATATTTAGCCTTTAGGAGTCTTGTATTAACATCTAGTTGATACAAAATAACGAAGACGTTTTATCAAAGATATTTTATTTGAATAACTTCTATTCCGCCAAGATATCAGCGGTACAGCACTTCAAGTGATATCTCTCCATAGACAATCTGATTGTGACTATGATCTGAAGAACACTCCTTAAGTATTTTCAAATCAACAGCACACTTTATAAAACGACCACATGTGTATAAAGACATCCTGCTTATAAAGAACATTAATCTAGTGTCCATTCATATAAAGACACATGTCTACACAAATCAACTGCCCATAGCTACCATCTTAAGTTATAGAATATTTTAAAGATTGTTTACTACTAAATGAAATAAAAACCCTGCCTACAAAGACCAACTGTAAATAACTTTGAACTTTAGAATACGTACTATCTTAAATACTGTTTTCTATTAAATGAAAAGCTGCTATAAAAACACCTGTCTACAAAGACTTACTGCGTATAACTGTCATATAAATACAATTGCATAGTTTTTATGATTTCGTAGAGGCTGTCTATAAACATCACCTGTCTTCAAAGACCAACTGCCAATAACTGTAAACTTGAGAAAATGTTATGCTGTTAAAATTGTTTTCTATTTAATAATTACTTGATATACAGACCACCTGCCAACAAAGACCACCTGCTTAAAACTATCATCTAAACAAAAATCCTAGATGTTTTATATTTTAAACGATCTGTCTGTCACCTGCCTACAACGACTAATTGCCAGTAACTTGCATCTTAAGAATATGTAATATCTTAAATGTTGCTTGCAGCTACCAAAGAAATATTATCGAATATCTCATATGTTAATTTTCTAATAAAAACTGCGTCAGTGACCACCTGCCTAAAAAGACAATTTGCTAAGATATGTCATCTGAAGAATATCTCAAAATGATAGCGCCTATTTAAGAACAGCTGTCTTGAATGTATATATAATGTTTTGATAGGTTTACGCTGACATTTGCTCCTGACATATATAAATCATATCTATCTAGTCTGGAAACCTGCATAAACAAGGTCTCGTCTGTCCGTGTGTCTTTGCCTTAATGATGTATTGAAGAATAATTTCAAAGTTATTGCTTTAAATATTTGTAAAATATAGGAGCCTTCTGACTTTGTATTTCTCGTATTGATTTTCAAATACACATTGTATATTATCTGATAACATTAGATACAATTGGAATGAAAACTTAACGGTTATTCGAAATAAAAATCGATGAAGCAATTGAACATATGAACAAAGAGAGCAGTGGAAATAGTAAAAAGATCATTGGACCAGGTGTTCCGAAAGGTTAATCGTCTTCTGCTTTATTGAAGACACCCGGCATGTAAATATGGGTCAAGTTTATGTGATGTCGCATTCTTATTGATAGAAACGGGGTACTGTAGCGACTATGAAACTAAAAGAAACCAACACAGAAAAACATTCTTGATATCAATTTCACCTGAAAAAATTCTAACCTGAAATTGACCCGAATTTGACCTGAAAAATCACAATGCTGGCAAATATTGACTGAATTCGACCCGCAATCGACCTTAATTTGACCCTAAATTGACACCTAAGAATTTTTCATGTCAAATTCAGGTCAATTTCAGGTCAACTTAACATCAATTTTTTCCTTGAAATAAACTTTTTTGTTGTTTTCAATTTGAATGTGATCAGAAATTTACCAGAGTTTAACATCAAGCAAATTTGCCTGTGTAATGAGCACAATCAAGATGTTTATATAGCATTATAATTTCAATATTTTCTAATGAGATTACGACAGCAACCATTAAAGGTGCATTTAGTCTCCTTCAGACTACAACTTCTGGAGAAAATATTTTGCATACTCTCTCAGCCATATATTATATGAATTTGTCATAAAGATGCTGACCAGCATACAAGCGGAGTCTGACCCATAATTAAATACTGTGAAATCACTAATTTTCGTGGTCTTTTTAACTTCGTTGATTTCGTGGGTGATCATCATATATGAATCCATAGGTCTACGAAGTGATTACAAGTTTGACATAAAGCAAATATGAGATGGTACACGTAATCCCCGAATTCATGTACCCATGAAGTGTGTTTATTTTCGGGAAACCACGAAACTTGTGCCCCGCGAAAGTATATGATTTCACAGTAGGTCCCTCTGTCGTACATGTCTTTGTATTTTATACCTGTGCCATCCGCACATTCAGAATGGAACCAATGATCCCAACGCTACTTAGATTCGGATAAGTGTCATTAGATTAATATTGTTATCACCATCATCCTGTACCAGCGTAAAGGCAGCTACTCGCCTGCACCATTTGTGTCTGAAAACGAAAATTCCTCAATTTCTTTCATTTTTTCAATTTTCATTTTTATTTTACCATGAATTTGTTATGATCAACGTCACAATTGGTTATCTTATATAAGATGCAAAATATATTATCAAAGTGAATTAACTTCATATTTAATGGTAAGTCATGTGTTAGTCATTTTTTTGAATTCATGATTTGAGGCAGTTTTGATATTGGACCCGGTAGAAGTATACATAGCGTGAATAGTTTGCTCCGGAATAACAGGAAAGACTTCGGAATAATTGAAAACTTTTGCATCCCGATCGTGCAGGCTAACAGAGGCCTTTCACGTAAAATATATCAAGACAGCTGTCTTATTATAATCACTTCTAGTTATCTCATTCTTTGCACGTGTCTTTTTATGCGAAATCGTTACAAACGAATCTATTTCGACCTCATGAAATCCATGTTATGCCAGTCTACATATATAAACTCCTGTCAATACGGCGACGCCAATAATGTACAGCTATTTGGTATAGCGGCCTGTTAGCGCCGAGACAAGGGTTATGTGATCACCAGACGCCTCTGACTTGTTATTTTTTCACCACTGTTACATTTGTACTCAGTATTCTGATGTACGTTTCTGATTAGAACACAAGCGAATTTTATCGGGATGATGGATATGTTTTGACTTATCTTAACTGGATAAACAGATATGTGTTTTCCCCAATGGTTACAAATATAATCAGCACAATAAGGTCGTGTATGGTTTTAATATAATAAAGGATGGCTTGATATGAGGGTAACTGGGTGACCCCTACTTCCTAAAACAATAATATCGCATGAAAAATCGTTCATTTGAATTGATGACTGACTTAATGCAATTTATCACATGCATTTGAAACTGTATTTAATCCTAAATAGAATATGCAACGGTTGTTTAGATGACCGCAGAGGTTTGTTAGCAAGAGGAAAGCAATACATACTTTATCGCGTCAGCACAAAATCAATGAATTTTCATTGTCGATACGACAGAATAAAAGATAAAACGTTGACTAAGGAGACAGCAAATCAAAGAAATAAAAATATACATCATGACCCAATACAATAAACCGGAAGTGAATACATGGGCTCAAGAAGAGTGTGCACCAGAAGTGCAATCACTATAATAATCATTATGTGAATTATTGTTTGTGTAAAATAAAACTCTTACACAACTCAGCTTGTCGCCTTTGTATTCATACGGTTTTCTTCAATGTTAAACAAATATAATTAGAATTGGAATTCTTAGCGTCATCCATTTTGTGACGTAACTGCAGTAATCACCTTAATGACAGTTACGAATACTGTTTACACAACATTTCTCGTATATGCCTTTCTGGAAATATTTCTTTCGTGTTCTGACACCCATGCTCAATACGAGGTGTGGAATGACTGCTTCGACACATAACACTCTTTATCGATGTACTCCAGTTTAGCGTAGGTACCAAGAAACCATTTGGTGTACTTTGGTCTGAGCGCTAGAACATGTGTTTGGTTGGCCATCCAGCGGTGGTTTAGTGTACATTTAACTACTATATCAGTGTGCCCGGATGTTTGTAATAATTTACAATACAACATAACACATGTCTATATAATTAGTTCGCTTCTACACTGTTTGAAGGCGATGCGGCTTCGTGTACCTAAACGTTATGTTTTTGGTCAAGAAGCAAATAATCGTTGCAGTATATATACAAAACTAGTTCCATATGCTTTGTATCCATTTGTCTACAAAACTCGAATGATTTCGCAATGGCACAGTTGGTAGTGGATCAGCCTCTTTGCCAAAAGGCCGTAGCTTCGATCTCCGCCGACGTCAGGATGTGGTTGTCTCATTTAAAAGACTTGTGACTGATCAGCTCCACCTGCTTGGGGTTGATTATAGATTAGTCTGTGTTGTGTATTACGTTTTCTGATATATGTTGTGTCTGTACATGCATAAAGGGCTTGTTAGAAATACGAGCTCATAAATAGCAAAACACCTATCAAAACTCCAGAATACACCCACACACATATGTTTAAGCTATAGACGCTTAAATAATAACGTGTTTGCATCTTACGTTACAATAATAATAATAATAGTAATAATAATATACAGCATTTGATATAGCGTACTATCTAGCTTACATAAGCCACTCTAAAGTGCTTTACAGTACATAGATATATAATTGTATACAGTCAATACAATTAGCATATATAGTAATCAATACAATATTGAGGAATTCGCAGGAGCTGCCTTATCAGGCGCTAACTACTAGTCCTATGTCACCTGGCTAAT